GTGTCGATATTGCTGCCGTACCTCGTTCTGGGGCCGTTTTGAGGCGGTTCCAATGGCCCCAAAGCACGAGAAAGGAAACACGACCGGTGACCATGATGCTGCTCATGCTCGCGTACGGCGCGCGCGCGCGCCGCGGGGGGTGGTTGAAGGGCAGGGGGGAAGGGGCGAGAATCGGAGAGGCGACGGCCATGCCGGCCCGTGCCGCCAGGCCCTACAATAATTTAAACCTGGGAGTGGCAACCCCCCAGACCTAAAACATGGCTATTTGGAAGCATCCTCTTGTGTTCAAATCAGAATTCGCAGTGTGTGTTTCCTCTTGTGAATACAACTATCAGCTTCCAAATGCAGTCTGGTTTAAGCTGCACACCCCCCCTCCCCCTTTAACTAAGTATTGTGAACGGACCAGATAAGGTCCTGCACGCACTTTTGACTTAGTTCTCTGCTGAGTGAATGGTAAACGACAACTCCCGCAAGCTCCAACGAGCTAGCTTTCGTGACATTCCGTACCAGTAGCTAGACGCAGTGCCGTGCCTGCCCTCGCGTTAACTTTCGCACGGCTTCCTGAAGTTCGCCTTTGCCTCGGCAGCTTTTTGCTACACTGTAGGATAGAGCGGCTCTACTGTACGACTGTGAGACTGAGCTCTTCTATGCACATTCCGTTGGGGAATTGAGGCTCTGGCGCAGCAAAGCAGCACCATCGGAACAACAAGACGATGCCAGATGCCGCAGCTCCTGGCTGACGTGCGTCCTTCTGTGCGAGTCGCTTCGGATGACGGAACTGCTGACAGAAGCCCTGCCAAAAATGTTCCTGCTTGCCTCTGAGAGGTCTCAACAATTCCCAACTCCAACTAACTCCCCAAGAACATGCCCAACTCGGTGACGTGCACCTCTGGCGATGCTGAACTTTCCGAATCTCCGGACTGCTTGCCTTGCTCGGCCTCGACAGCTTGACGACAAATGGCGCCTGTGCTGAGCCCGAGCCCAGCGCATGGGTTTCCTCGTTGTCGCCATCCTGAAACTACGGCACCGAAGACTGGGCCAAAGGCTGCAGAGCGGCAAATTAGTGCCTCCTCCCGCTTTGTTGCGTCGTTCGTCGTCACATCGTCAGCCTCTCCATCGCCATCCTCGCGGCAGCTTTCCTCGGAGTCCGTCTCCTCCTCCTCCATCGCCTTCAACTTTCTCACGTGCCTGTTCGGTGCGATTGCAAGTTCTTCATGATTTCGCACGCCAACAGATCAAAGATGCGGGAACCTCCGTACCTGCCACTAGGTCCTCCGGTGGACGGAAAAAACAGTGGACATCGCAGCATCTTTTAGCTGAAAGGTAACTGATGGGTGTCTCATGAGTCTCATGCCTCGTCGTTTCCACGAACATCTGTTCAAAAGGGAATCGACCGGTCGGGAGTGTGTAAGAGTGCATGGGGCCTGGGGACATAACCACATAGTTGAACAGCCAGTAACACAACTCAGTAAACAGCAAGACAGCGTGCAAGCGGTCGTGTAATATGCAATAAAATAGCAATACCAGCCTGCCTTCAGCACGTCGGGCTGGTAATAATCAGTTGAGCTCACCGGGGCCAGCCTGACAGTCCAGCAAGCGCTTGCAAGGGGAAGTTTCATGCACTGCCTGTATGCTAAAACTCCTGAAACGGTGTCCACCAATACAATACCACCGAAGCCATACTAGGCAATTGATGTGCTCGACGGTGTTGCGTGAGCAGCTAAGCCTGCGGCATGTTACTGGCCCGCAAAGTGGCTGCTGCCAGCTTGAAGCAGATGCGCAAGCGGTGTCAGAGCACAACCCATTCCCTACGATATGCAACCATGCATACAAGTGCAACTTGCATCCGATCCACTCGCGCAAAACATCCTACTTTTCGGCTGGCATGCATGAAAAGCGGGCCAAGTGTTGGACACCATACTTCCCTGTACACACCTACGGACCGCGGATGATTGACGAACAAAACCCGTTTGTCCGCTCAGCACTTCTGATGCCTTAGAATGGTGCGCATCAACTCAGCGATTACATGACACCGGCATGCGCCAGCCGTGCTCGTTAAGTGGCAGTGCATACAATCAGCACTGCAGCATGTCTCATCGAGCTTTCGGAAATCCAACTGACTCTCGATGCGAGAAAGCCGCTTGTGAGATCCATCATCACCTCAGCTGAACCAGCATCCAAAGGAAGCTCGCGATTCATGCAGCCCTTCTCATGTCACGGCTTATGCACAGATTGAAGCCAAGGTTCAGTCGTCGTCTGGCTTTCGCTTCTGAGATTCCAGAGAGGGGTCCCCCGTTGACGTCGTAACTTCCTTCAAGCTTTGCTCCTGTTTAGTACAAGTGGGTTGGCCTGCAAAAGAGGAAATGAAAGCGGCTACGGCGGGATACCGCAAACTTGAAAACCTCTGGCCCTCTCAAACCCAAATCCGGCTGCGAGGTGAGCGACAAACACGCAAGCATAAGACTCCGACAGCAAGGATCTTGAAATGAAGCCACGAAATCCATGTGCTCGAACGTGGAAAAGCTGTTGCATTGCTTGTGTTGTGCATCCGGAATCGAAAACTGCAAAGCTTGAGCATTCAGCCATTCGTGGACAGCTGCTAAAATTGAGAGCTTCGATTGATGGACACGTCTCCTTGCTCGCGTTCGTTGCATGGTACAGTATGGTGCGCCTTGGTCAGTTGCGTCTATATTTCTATATTATATGCTCGGAGTTTCGCTTCGTGTTGTACAAGAGTTGAACATGCGCGAATTGACCGAGAGAACAGCAACGCGGAAAGCATACAGAATCCCTTCATTCCCTTCCTCCAAGAGAACGTCGAACAGCATCGTGACAATCTAGCCCAGAACTGTAAAAGAAACAAGGGAGCGAGCGAGTGAAACAGCCACATGCCGCGAATTGTATCCAGCCATGGAGTGCACCCCTGAAAGACACGAGACGAGCGAGCCAGCAGAAAAACTCAGATGTAGAAACAACCTCGTGGAGCGAGTTTTTACAGAAAACTTGACGATAAAATAAACAAGGCGAGTGGGACAGGACTGCGTGCCTGTTTCAGCTCGTGGCCTGAATAGAAGGCCCCTGTGGCCCTGCGGACAGGAGCCTGTGAATCAGGGAAGTGAGAGGCTGGGAGGGCACCAACCTAGGGGCGACAGAGAGAGAGAGAGAGAGCAGAAAAAGAGGTCCCGATCAAAGAAGTGGTCATATGTTTACAAACCGAATGACTGTCAACCTGTCCGAAAATGGCGAACCAAACGAGTACCTCATGCAAGCATAGTCTTAAGCAGTAGCTCGGGCTGGTGCAAGGATTTCGCAGGCTGCCTTCTGTGGATGGTGGGCAAGCGGAGGAAGGCCCACAGCACGAGCATCGGTTTGCAACACAGGACTACATCGTGCAGAAATGAACAAATGGCGCGATCGTCCTCATCATCAAAACCTGAATCGTTGTCATCGTCGTCATCTTCCTCCTCGGAGTCCTCAATCAGGCCTGAACACGACCGAAATGAAGGACCTCCTAGAAAACGCTCTTCTTCCATCATCAGCAATCAATGAACGAAGACAGCGTCGAAGGCAGAAAGGTCGCAGCCATCTGATTCCAGTAAAGCACTGCTTGGCAGGTACCGAGACATACCTGGGGATCGAGCGAAAATGATGAAAGCCGCGGTTGCTCTCAAGCATCACCACGGCACAACAAACTTGTTTTGGCCAAGGCTGTCACCACCAAAGTCAACCTTGACCAGCTCATACTGCGGCTCGTCCTGCTTCATGCTCACTGAACAATACATTCGCCGAGCATCCTTCTGCGGAATCTATGGGTCCTCGATGGCAATTGCAAACTGCCCAGCCAATGAAGCCATTTCGGCCTGCCAGAAACCGCACAAAGGCATCAAACGTTACGTCGAGCTTCCATACACGTGCCTTCCATGTGATCCAGGAGTTGTCTTCCACAGCTTTCTGGAGTACATCTACTGGCGCAACCTGAGAGCTGCAAGCCCTGAGGCCCCTGCTTCACAGACGTTGACCCTAGACTGGACCCCCTTCAGAAGTCAGGCTGTTCAAGGGCACCCCCACCTCAAAGTACAGCTGTGTCAAGCGCGGTCTCGAAAGCAGTTCTTTGCCCCTCTCCGGAAAACTACTGTCGTGCAAACCACCTAGTCCACAACGGCAGAACACGGACATACAAAAAAATCATGTTCTTGTTGTATAATAGCACGACACAGTATGAGAGCGTAGTAGTCGACCAACAAACAGAAGCAAATGCAAGTTTTGCTGCTGACAGCATGACGTGCCTAGCTATGCAGTGGCACACTTGCACTTCTATCAAGGGTAGACACCAGTGGAGTATACTAGGCTCTACCAAGCAAAGGTCCAACAGCGTCGAAGGTTTCGGGCGTCTTCTTTTCCCTCACCTTTCTTGGAGTGTCCAGTCCAAGCTCGCTGGGGCCCGTCGGAAAGATCTAAACTGCAACTGGCTAAGTCCTGCCTCCTCCGGTAAGACATGTTATTAACGGCGGATGCCCCAATATATCCAATGAATGCACATCGCACGCTTTCCCGCGGCGAAGAACCAACTACAACCTGAGTAGCAGCTATGTGTGACGACTCCGAAGGTGAGTGTTTAGAGCGCCAAAGACTGCTTTCAGAGCAGCGCTTTGACCTAAACGAGAGTCTGATGATGCCCCTCAGGCTTTGAGTTGCATTGGCTTTTGAGAAGGCCGGTCTCCTCTCGGAGGCGATTGGCGTCTATGCTGGTCGATGTTGGGTTCCGTCCACGGCTGTTCTTTCAATCAGCTCCGGTGCACTCAGCCGCTGCGTCCATCGTGACCTGTTTCTGTGCCATGAGAAACCTAGAGTCTGCCTCGTGAGTTGTTCTGCACTCTCTGTGGGGTGAAACTCTATCACGGTCATCGGAATGACCTGAACGCTTGCCCGTCTAATTCCGCTACGTTCGTAATGCGCGTCGGCGCAAATTCGAAACGAGGCTGTGGCACGCGAGCTTCCAAAGAAGCTTTGGCCAGAGAAGGTGCCATCAGCGATGTGGTTGTTGCTTCAGGTCCGGCGGCTTCGGAGGGTGCCTTTTGCTGGTTAGTTCTCGATGCAGCACTGCCATGAGTGTCACCTCGCTTGGGACACAGGACTGCAAAATCTCGCATTAGTTCCCTCCTTCGCGGGATATTTGCCGATGGAAGATAGCTGATACCATTGTCGGTGGCTCACGGGCGGTTGTCATCCAGGCGGCTATTTTCAAAGACTTCCCCATGTCTCGTTGCTGACAGCCGCACATCACATGGCACGCGATAGCTACTTGTAGTAGGGAATCGGTTTTAACTCGGGAAATCCTCGAGAAATCCACCTTTCGGTGCGGTCTTGCAAGCGGCTCTTGACGGCATGGGGATGAATGGTGACACCGCAGCTGAGTCGTGTGGTGGCTGCTCTACAAAACCAGTGAGAAGGAGAATCCAAAGGAACCAAAGATTGCAGAGTAACTCAGGGACTTTGGAGGGAGACACTCTGAGGCAGAGCTTTAGGTAGGCTCTTCATGTCCAATGTGAAGATCACACTCAACGCCAGTCGCACGTAGCGGGGATTGCAGCAGGTCTCTAACATGCAATGGTGCCCTGCCCCACCCTGCCCTCTGCCCCCGTTAGCCCATCCTCCCCGCCCTGCACTCGCACATCAATGAGAAGACATTGCTGCGTGATGGTTTTGGTGCTTGCACCTTGTGAAGCTGTGTGACAAGGTAAAATGGTAGAAACCTTCGCACATCAAGCATCACAACAGCAACACACAAGTGTCTCTGACATTGAAGATGCCATGAGGATGGCACCTGCACGGTTCGAGGTCGAGAAGGTGGATAAGAGTTGTCTTGCAAATCCATCCACTCGTCTTCCAAACATTCCCACGGCAGCCACACGCTGGCGCAGATCTTTCCCCGAAACTTGACCTCAACAGATGCCGACAGCCGAGTCGCTTCCTAGGGCAAATCTACACCTCAGCGACTGAGCATAAACAAGTTGTAGCAAGTTAATCAGGCCGTCAACAATTCTTGCGAAATAATTGGCACGTAAATCTTGCAATGCCGAGCATTGCGGCCCGCCTGCGCTGTCTTGTCAGACGGATCATCCTGCAGCACCTGCCGGCGCTGTCTGCCACTGGTGCAGGCATCGAGGAAGAGTCAGGGGTGGAAGAAACGATTACAGCGTCTCAGCATAGCCACAAACATGGCAAGACGTGCCTTGCCCCGCTGCTCGCAAATGGACAACAGGCGATCGTCCCAATTGATGGTCTTGTGTGCCTGGCAACACTGCACGACATGGCACGAAGGAGGCCTTCACTGCCGGATTTGCCGCAGACTAGGGGACTCTGTAATTTCGCTGGCCCACTGTCGCACAATGCCACATGCACTTCCTTCAATTCAACTCTGCATGCTCTTGGCCTCGACAGCGGGCCGCAGCGCATCTGCAGCGACCACGCGCACAACTCGCATGGCGCGCTCATCAACAAGACCCTGGCACCGACACTGGCATGCAGTTCTAGACAGAACAGACAACGAGCAAAGAGGCAAGCAGCGAATTGAATGCTGTTGTCACACATGGGAATGCGTCAACGTGGTTTTGCAAATCGTGGGATGCACGAGATCAGGTCATTACCTGAAACGTGGTCAGGTGCTTTCGAAAGAATCCAGATCCTTGTCTCGGAATGGGGGTTGCTTGAAGAAGGTTTGCTTGGAGTGAGCTGCGAATTGACCTTGCCGGATCTTGCCGGCCAAAAGCGCCAAAATAATTATGACTGCTCAGTTGTTGTCATCTTGCTTGACCTAAACGTCCATGAGTCCATGAGCGTCCCATCAAATCGCACTTCTTGCCAGGCTGCTATGTCGGGCTACAGCTGATTGAAGCTTGTGGTATCTTCTATCGCCAGGAAATCGCCAGCATTTCCAGGCAAGCACTCTCATTTAGCCTCACACCTCGCGTGACTTCGGCGTCTGCATGCTTGTGACTTCAGTTGCGACTTCGTCTTGTCACATTTCCTCGATCCTGAGTTTAAGCTTGCCCATGATGTATCCTTTTCTGCGGCCCATGGCATGCCACTTCCCACTCAAGCATAAGAGTTTGCCACTCTCGGACCTTTACGAGTTGCGAATCCCCTACGCCAATTCCACCGCTGTGCTCAAGGCGGAAGGTTTGCTACTCTCTCCGCCACAGCCACCCCTGTCCAAGTTCAAACTTGCCACTCCCCAGTCCTCGTAGGCGCATGGGTGGCATTGGGTTTGCCGACTGATGCTCTTCTTGGTGGAGTCTCTGGTTTCCGATACCGTCGCGAAAGAAACTCTTGCAAAGAGCACCTGTGCCCGAGCCACTGCTAACAGCTCAGGATCTTCTTCGACCAAGTTCAGAAGCTCATCTCGCCTGCAGGCTTTTCGGTCGCTGATTGACTCGCAGCCCTGCAAGTTCAAACATGTTTCTCAAACACTACCGCTACCGTCGTCTCTCCATCGTAGTCCACCAGAACCCTCTGGGATGCCCGCGTCATGTTTTGCAGGTCTAGTGCCGGAACTACATCCGTGCCTCAAGGGGAGCATACAATTGCTCTCGAATCGAGGCTCAACCCTCACATACCTCATGGTCGCTGTCTCCAACGGTATGTCGACAAGCTTGCAGCATCGGAGGTCGGTGCGAAGTGCTGAGGCTCTGTCCATCAAGCCACCTTGGTACCAGTTGGCATGCGGAACATATCACCGAACTCTCGGTCCTTCAGACTACGGGGTGTCCACTAGCTAGCTTGAGAATGCTGCAACGTTTTTCTGTTAAGAACTCCTCGCTTTGCAACAGCATCTGCTGGCAAAACTCCCCTCCCGTGCCACTGCTCACCGATTCATTCACAAAGCCTTGTTTGCAAGGCAGAAACATCCGCTTTACATTCCTCGCTGAAGGATAGGCGTCACGACTATGGTTTTTCGAACTCGAATCACTGAAAGCCTGAACGAATCAGCCGCAGAGCGAGATTGGGGAGATTGAAGACAATGAACAACAGTTTGACGCTCGAAAGTTAGAAACTTTCGAGATTAAACATCGCAGGGACTACTGCAGGGCCGGGTTCAAGATATGAGATCAAGCGGCATCATCTATCGGAATCTAACGACAAGTGATACTGCATCTAACGAGAGCTCTCTCTCCTTTGGCCACCAACATGCACCACCTGCATCGTTTCTCTATGTATACATCGGGCCATCCAGCCCTCTCCCTCCACAAGTATGCACAATTTCCTCTTTTCTGCTACATGTACAAACAAAAAACGGGCACCGAATTAAACGTACACGTGCATGAAATTCGGGCCATCCAGCGCTGTCTCCGCATGTATACACAACCTCCTTTTCCTTCTCATCTGTATTTACACATATAACACATAAAACGCACCGATTTAGAAAGGTGCACTCTCGGGCCATCCAGCCCTCTCTCCACAGACAGCAGAAACGCCTTTTTCCCTCCGAAGTGGTCCGAAGTGGCCACGCTGTTTAAAAATCGGTTCCACGTCCACACATTGTTTTCCACCTGTGCATGGTTATCCTCGCTGTTGGGGGGTCGGGATTTAAATATGAGCAGAACCGACATCGCCTCATCAGGCGTGAGTTTTTTCGCCTCCCACTTAGCTAGGACAAGCCCACATTGCAGGGTTCAGTCAGAGAGAGAGCATACTGGATAATGCGATACTGCAACACTTGGCAGCTGCAAGTACATTAACTAAGGATCTGTGCAACCGTGGCGTTCCACTGCAGCTCGACTAGGATATTGGGTCAACCGCCATCTGCCATTGCAGGGCCTACTGAGGGGCCGGATTCAGATATGAGCTGAACCGCCATCGCCTCATGAGGGGCGACATCAAGGTATGGGATCAACCGCCATTGCCTGAGGAGGGGGCGGGCTTAAAATATGGAAGAACATAGGATCAACCGCCGTCGCCTAACGGGGACGGGATTAAAATATGAGATTACTGTAGCTGCACTGGCCTAACGGGGGGCCGGGCTTAGGGTATGGGATCAACATGGCTTTTCCAAATCGTGAAGGGTCGGGGGGGTTGCGGAACCGCTCCAAATCGTGACCGTGAAGGGTTGGGGGAGCTTTACTCCCCAATCAGAAATCAGCTGCCTGGAAGGAACAGGGGTGTCCCAAATTGCAAAGGGTTGGAGGTCCTATCCATGTCCTTTTGGGAACGCATTCCGCGGTTCAAATCGTTGTCCTTTGCGGAGCCGCTTCGAGGGGAGGTGCAACCCTTGTCACAAGGATGATCCTTGTCCTTTTGGGGAGCGGGTCCAAAGCGTGAAGGGTTGCGGGCCGCATCCTTGTCCTGGCGGCACTGCGAGTTGTGAGGGTTTGGGGGGCTCCTTGTCCCTCTGGGGGTTGCTCCGAATCGTGAAAGTTGGGTTGTCGAAACGAAGTGCCAGACAAAAACCGGGTTTAGGGTCTCTACCTTTACTGCCCGGTGGGAGGTGCCGGAGGGGCCGGCAGGCGTGCTGCCAGTCGCCTAGCTTTACCCAGGCTCCGCGTGCTCGCGAAGCTCGGGCAGCTTCGGGCTCCGCGGTGCCGATTGCTGAGCCCTCAGCGAAGACTTTTTTCCCTGTCACTTGGCTGAGCGAAGACTTTTGGATTTAGGGTTTAGGGTTTCGACCCTGACACTCGTACAAGGCAAGCAAGACTCAACTTAGTCCCGTCACGCAAGGCGATGACTCAGCAGAATCAGCATGGCGGGGGGGGGAAGAGTATGAGGGGGGGGCGTGATTCATACCAGGAGTACGAGGGGGGGTTCATACTCCAGGAGTATGAGGGGGGATGCATACTCCAGGAAGATGAAGAGGGGGGGGGTGGGGGCAAGCTTCTGAAAAACTGCATCCATGTAGGTGCTCAGAAGCACACTGGCTCTGACGGCCGCTTCAGTGACTCGGACAGACCAGTCACCTGCGGACACTCCGTTTCCAACTTGCAGAAGATTGTGGAGGGGCAGGGCCAAACGAAAGTGTCGAGTTTTGCCCTTCCCGGCTCGCTTCGCTGCTTGTTGGTTGTGGCCGTAGGCAGCTTCCTGCTCGCCAACATGCGTGTCGAACGAGTCCCAGAAGAGCTCTTCGGCCTCGTCGGAGAAAGTGTACCGCAGCCCCGAATCGCGGCATGGCAGGCTCTCGGCTAAATCGGAGGAAATGGAGGCGGCGACCTACGTGCGACTGAAGAAAGATTCTGCAGACCCTCGCCGGCGGAGTAACGAAACAAACCACAGCAAAGTTCCAGGACGGCAGGAGCGGGTGACCAGCTGGTGGAAACCTTCTGTTGACGTCGACATCCGGTCTGGCTCTCGCAACACTTGTGGTTGCCGCAGCTGTGTTGGTGGCTCCGCGGCCGTAGCCGAGCCTGCAAAAGACCTTGTAGCAATGCACTGTGTGGGCAACTATTCCTCTTCTCGGCTTAGCGAGAGGGTTCGAAAGCGCACGCGGCCTCCACGCGCATCGGGCCGCTGTATTCTTTGGTGCGGGTGGGCCTCAAGAGCAGCAAATGAAATAGCTAAAGATACGCTCGTAAGCGATGACGAGTGCAGCCTGCGCAGTAGCTGCAACTGCCAGTGAAGCACACAAAAAACAGCCATTCTTCAGGCACCACTTCCGTACCAGCCGATAGTCCGTCTGGCTTGTGCAGTCGCGAGGCGCAAGCGAGCGCGCCGCTGGCCAGTAAGCGGTGCACTTTGCCGTCCCGGAGGTTCACCACGTGCTGTGCCGGCGGCAGAGGCCTGGGAGCAGGCACGCAGACAAGGCATAGACAGGGCAGCAGCAGGGTGCACCAGCATGGCCTACCTGGCCTTGGCAGCGGCAACCCAGCTTGAGGGTCGAGGTCAGATCCTCCAGCCTGCCGGGGTTTCTCGGCAGCACACAGAGACGCAAAGGCTCGTCGAAGCATACTTGCCTCCGCAGCTGCCACGTCGGGCACGGAACATGCGGAGAAGGCACAGTAGAAGCAAGAACCTTCCAGGGAAATCGCGAGGGCAGCGGCGTTGTCGGAAGGTTGTATAGGGAAGTGCTGACAGGCGGCTGCAACGGCGGACATGGCGGACTCTGGCGTGAAGCAGGAGATGGGTCGTCCTGGTATATTATACAGAAAAAGACTTAAGAAGACTCCTTGTGACATCGACATACATTCAGGCAACACAACCCAACACCCCAAAATTCCCGGCCTCACGACGTCGAACCCGGCGATGGAGCGCCTTTTCCGGGCCAGACACCTCTGCGCACGAAGTCGGATCCGGCGGGGCTGCCAACGTGCACGCTCGTTGCGGCGAAGCACGAGCAGCCGGAAGAAGGCGCGGTGTTTCACAGGAGTCATAGCATTGGCGACATGAGTGAGCCACTTAACTCATGAAAACACTTGCTCCTGCGCCTCGCAGTTGATACCCTGCAGCTCGGGGTGCGCAGCTTTGCAAACCTCCGGCAAGAAGTAGGAGGGGTTGCCGTCGTCCAGACAGGCGGTGTGATTCCGAATATGCGCGTCTGGAATAACGAACTTGCAGGACACCAGCTGTCGATGCATATCACCAGCATCCGCCCGAACAGGATTTCGGAGGAATTGCGCGAGACCACAGGCGAAGTCTTAGACGAGAAACTTCTTTTGCGGCACTATCTGCAACGTCTCTGCAAATGCACAAGCCACCTGAGGCAGACTCTCGGAACCCACCATGTGGGAGACGTGCGCCACGTGGCCGCATGGAAGCACAACGCAGAACACCACGGCGTACTTGCGGACGGCGAGGTGTCGGCTCTCGTCTTTGATGCAGGGGCAGCCCCTCGGGAAGCAGTCGGAACGCGTGAGCTGCAAGACCGGATTCGGAGCGGCAGCGGGGTCGCCCGCGGGCGCAGCGTCGGCTGCCCTCAGCTAAACCGATGGGAATGCACCTCGGGTCCAGGGGATAGAGAGGCATCGGCCAGTAGTTGATGACGTCGACAAAAGAGGCTTTTGGCTTGGGGCCGCTGGCAACAGCTCGTAAACAAACGCATATGCTGAGTCTCACTCTCTGGAAAGCTGCTGGAGCGTCGTTGCAAAGAGACGTCGTCAGCTTCATGCCACCATCACCGGTGAGCGCTCCGTTTCTGCAGCAGAGTGCTGGCGGGCTTGCTGCGCAAGGAGTTCCTGCAGTCTCGTTTCGGAGGACTCCAGCCAGGCAACGATGCGGTCGACACGAAGATCAAACTCCTTGCCCTGGAACGCTGGGTAAGTCAACGAGAGCGTCTCGCAGAGCAAGCATCCATACTCCGAGAGAACGAACCCCCCCCCTCCCTTTTCCTGAAGAACGAACCCCCTTCCATACTCCCGAGAACGAAACCCCCCCATTCCATACTCCCGGAGAACGAACCCCCCCCGTTCCAAACTCCCGGAGAACGAACCGCCCCCTTCCTATTTCCTGGAGAACGAACCCCCCCCACCCCGTTAACGGCGCTACCTGAACTTCGGGCGCAATGTAGGGTTTAGGGTTTCAGCACTCACAACTGGGACAAGCCGGGCGAGGTACAGGGGTTTTGATTTCAGGCTTCGACTCACGCAAGGGTTTAGGGTCTGGGGCTCAAGGGTTTTGGATTTAGGGTGTAGGGGTCTTGGATTTAGGGTTTCGACTCTCACTCTCGCACAACCACAGAGTTTCGTCACGCTAGAGAAGCCCTGGACCCAACGACAGGGTTTAGGGGTTTAGGGTTTAAGGCTTTTGGATGTAAGGCTTAGGCCGCCACCCAAGTTCCAAGTTTTCGACACACGCACACACACACACACACACACTCGCGCAAGGCTGGCATAGTTCCAAGGTTTAGGGTTGGGAAATAGGTGTTTTGGGTTTGTCGTGTTTCACGGTTGAAGGTTTTTCAAGTTTTATGCCTTTTGGGATTAGATTTTCTTAGGGCTCAGGGTGTTTAGGCTTCAAGCCTTTTGAGGGTTAATAGGGTTTCGGGGGGTTGGGCTTTGTAGGGCTTGGGGGTTTACGCTCTCACAACTCGGACAAGCCAGGCGAGGATCCATAGTCACAGGTCGGAGTGATACAGTTTGTAGGTCTGCTTGGCTTTGGGGTTTAGGGCTTAGGTTTCAGACGACGTTTGCATGGTTTGCAGGCAACCAACTACAGTCCACTCATGCGGCCATTGCCAGTACCATAGTACTGCACATCTATATCACTATCCAATCACCAAAGTACTACATTACTATATTTCTTCAATACAATAATAGACTATCTTACCATGTCATTATTGTTGTATGAGATCGTAGTTCGTAGTATAGTATTATTGTATTATGTATTATAGAAATACTATATTACCATAATATACTATGACACCACAAGACTATATTTACGGTATCACTATTGTAGAAATAGACTACTATTACGCCTATGGCTCATTTAGAACATCGCCAGGAGTCCTGGCCCCGAGCTCCAAATTCGCTTAGGGGACTAGGGGGTTTTGGTTTTCGGCCTCGGAAGTACTTGCAAACACCGAGTCTTACTTGGCCAAAAACTCCTGACACGGGATCCCCGGCTTGACGCACTTCGCCTTTTCGGATCCCAGAAAGCTGTCGGACGGAGCGCATACACCCTCGCCCGCGCGCACTTTAGACAAAAATCCGCGTGCACCTTCGACGCAAACCACGCGTGCACCTTAGACGTCGCACCCGTTTCGAGCTTGAGTTCAGAAGCAGCGAGTCGAGCTCGAAAGTTGCATTGAGAATCTGAAAGTTCGAAGGATTCGATGAAAAGTTCGAAGTGTGACGCCCGCTCGCTTAGCATACAAAAGTGCCCGAACATGCCCGAACTTTCGAACTCCAGCACCTTTTTTTCACAAGGGACTCGACTGCAACCTTGAAACCTTCAAACGTCGAACACCTTCGAACCTTAAGTCTCTCATACCTTCGAGTTCGTTTTGGAGCCGCACTCTTTGAACCATTGGATGCGCTCCACACTGCCTCGGCTCGGAGAGCTCAAAGCTAGCAAGGGCTGAGCACCCGTGCCAGAGCGGGCAAGTGCAGACTTCCTTGCAGCAGAGGTTCCTTCAGCAAGTGTGCCAGGGGGACCGGAGTCAAACTGCATCAGCTCAGCTCGTAGTTCTGCCATGGCGGGGTCCTGCTGAAACCCCAAGCTGTCTCTGCTGGCTCCGGAGGCATGGGCATGCAAGGATGCCCAAGGCGGCTTCCGTTGGCTGCCTGGCTATCCTCCTGGCCCCTCCGCGTGGTCCAGAGCATCGTAGCCAATGACTCCAAAGTGGCAACTCACTGACGGCTCTACAAACATCCTACCCAGCGGCCCGGTTTCACAGCCATGGCCTCCGCTCCGTTCTCGGATTCTTTCTCCTTTTCTGCTCCGTCCTGAACCTGACAGCAGGAAGACCCTTGCCCGCGGTGCTTGCTCAAACAGCGCATGCCATTCTCCTCTCGGTGCTTGCTCGTCTCTCTCGCTTGCCGCGAGGCCATGGTGTATCTCTGCTCCACCTGGAAATCTCTTCTCTGTCTTAAGCACCAGTGGCGCCAAGGCGGAAAAATTAAGCTCTCGACTGCGGCTTCTAGAGTAGAACCTGCTCGTGCTGCCATTGCCGCGTAAGCCTGTGAGCAGCACAAGCGACGTGCCAAACTACTTCTAAGCGTTTTCCTGTCACATGCTGCGTGCCTTCCTGAAAGCACCGTGGGTCGGCTCGCTGAATGGCCCCGGCCACAGCTCCTGGAGCTCTGAAAGCAGAATACTTCGGACAGCTGTGTGCAGCAGCAGCTGCAGTACAGAGCTAGGCATTCAGACAGTTTAAGCAGTTAGCAGTTTATTACGTATTCGGTTGTCCGGCAACAAAATTCCGGCCAGTACTAGTAGCTTGGATGCATGTTTCCTCCGTCCTTTTTTGCACTCTTTGCTGCCTGTTCTCCTTGTCGCAGCAGAACAATCATGCAGGAGAGGTTGTCCTTCAGCGAGGGGAATGCAGCCGATCCGAGTTGCAGTGGCCAGTTAAGAAGGTATCAGGTATCAATGACAAATCAAAGCTGCAGCTACTTAGTTTGGTGTTGTCGGGTGTGCCTGGTGCAAGTGCTAACGTATGAATGCATAGTATCACTTGACGAAGACAGGGCCTAAGCTACACGGTGATGGACAGACTGCAGGGAGGTCCATCGAACCAGAATCGAGAGCTTTGCGGCACACAGCCGCCGCCGCCTCTGCGCAATGCAGATACGACGAATTCTCAATAAGGCAGGAACTCAACATGACTCAACATGGCTGGTTGCCGCTCACCGTCGCGGGATCTTTGGACCGCAGCTCTTCCGCTGCCAGCCGAACCTTGACTCGTAGTTCGCAAAATGAAACAACATCTGCGATGGCCTCAGCTTCCAGCAACCTCTCTATTTGGAAAGTTGCCCTCGGAGATGCCATCCTTGCTCACTTTTGGAATCACTTGAAAGTCACATGAGCGTTCCGTGGCGCGATTCGCCCGGCACGACCGGAATCTCACTGAGGCATGCTCGCATACTAGCAACAGAAAGTCAGAAGGGGCACAGGTCATCGTCGTGAATTCAGGCTCAGCCTAAGGCAGGTTCCGATGGTCAACTTGGTACTTGGCACCCATTACGCACTGCGAAGCTAGATGTGCCAGACCGGGGTCTGCACTGAGACGGGATGGTCCTCCTGCAACAAAGCATGCCGCGTGCCAGAATTATGAGACAACATCCACATCAACAAAGCCGAGCAGACAGTGTGACTTGTCCTGCGCCGGGCCACCGGTCTGCTTGTGCTGTGCATCGCCAAAGGCTCGGCTCACTGCCAGATCGCCATTTACACGGGCGACACCCATTATCGTCTGAACCTCGCCATCATGCCATGTGGAGACATGCTAGCAGCATAAGTCCGACGCACTACTGAGGCGTGTGACTGTTCCGCCGGTTCGGGCTATCCTTTCCTCCTCCACCTGCTTGGACGACGAGTGCCGTGATTTTTCTGCTCTGTTTGGAGACCGCCCCGTCGCCAACCTTGTTGTCGGGCTTGTGATCCGTGGTGAGTCCGCCGTCAGTGCCAGGACCTCTGTCAGCAGCAACCCCACCGGCCGGAACACCGGAACACAGGCAAAGCAGAAAGAGGTTGAAACCAGGCCTTCCACCATGGAACCATCTGCCCTTCCCAACAAGACTCGACTGTCTCCGATGTTGCCAACCTTACACTTCATGTAAGAGTCAGGGCGCACGTGCAAACTGCACTCAAGAATGCCTGGATGAAGCGAAGACTCTCGGAGACATCGAATGCTGCACTTGTGATGCTTTGATGGTCTCGTCATCAGACAATGGAATCGTCTCGAAGGCTGCCGGAGCGAGGAGAATAGAGAGGAAACGAACACGAAATGGAAAACACGATAGTGACCGGGATGAACCACACATGCGCCGTATCAACCACGCATGCGCACATCCCTCTGCACAGACACACAGAGGCACCATCCACTAAGCTGAAAACATGGTTCAAAACACTGGAAAGGCAGAGCTGCACGCAACGCCCCTCTTCATCCAGTGCTGCAAAACGCTGCAAATGACACGACACGGGAGATTTAGACAGACTCGCGCCAACACTACCAACACCTTTTTGATCAGTGCACAGAGCAGTTCAGCAGACTGCAGTCGTGCAAAAGGCTCGAGCAATCCATGTACATTCTAGCGCTTTGTGGCCGAATGTGGCCAGTCCGCCAGAAATTGTTCTGCACTGCTGCATCCCTGATAGAAATAATGCACAAGCTTAGCCCATCTCAGCCTCGTCGAGCAGCGCCCAGACTTGCTGACGGATAAAATCCGCGTCCGCCTAAAAAAAATCCAAAAGCAAAGCAAGTTTAGGGTGTCAACTCAGGGGTTTTGCAGAAGGGCGTTGCTGGCGCGGCGAAGCTTCCAAGCTGGCAGGTGTGATGTCAGTTCGTGCTTGAGCCACAATAGTTGCAAAAAAGAACCCCGAAACGGCTGGGTTCGTGAGTTTTGCGCGTTGCGGGTGTTATTCGGAACACCGAAACTAGGCAATCCTTGAATCTGTTAATACTCTAAACAAAACGTTCAGGCCTTTAAGGCTGATTCTCGAGTATGGGAGCGATCTTGTGCTCGCGCGGCTTGTGTGTGAATTTAAGAAGAGTCCTGAAACTCTGCTACACGACGGCGTACCGACATGAGCTGGCTCTGAGATTTAGCCTGGCAATGCGAATGCCCCTGCCTGCTGTCCGGGGCGATGGGGATCACCGGCGCGATGACCCCACACAGAATTGATCGGCATAAAGCGACATTTGGAGATCATCTGCGCCTCCAGCTCCTCAGCTTAGCAACGAGCAAGCTAAACACTCCAGGCGCAGTGGCCCGCAACGGCCAGGGCTCAATATCCGCTGCACTGAAGTAGGCATCGGTGCTGCATGGCATCATCACAACCCTAGCGCGGCGGCAGCAAAAGACCCACACAGAGGCTTATCTGCATGGGCCGAGCTCAAAACGCAGATTCATGTTGAATGCCTGGACCTGGCCTGGCTGTGATGCGTCCCAAAGCATCCTTCAGTGAAATTCCACTTGGCATTCCACAAGCTTCGCATATGTTACCACACCTGAAAAGGGGGGCAAACTGCAGATCGCTTTGGTTCGGCTGGTTCGGAGGGGTTGGCGCGGCCGACTTGGGTTCGGCTTCTGGCTTGCAGCCTATTCCCTCCAGATCATCCTATCATGAAAGCATACCCAGCATGTGTCTTAGAAAAGTGGCTGAGGCTTTGGTTTGGCTGAAGCTGGCTGCAACATACAGGTTGGCTTGATAACCAGCAATGCAATTTGTCGCAACTTGGTGCAAAGAAGCAGATTGGCTGGCAGGCACGGTCATGAACCGTCCCATCAATGAAATGCAGATTTAGGCACGTGGTTGATTGCAATGTCAAGCACAACTCAGAAACCGGTGCAAGGCAAGCAAAGACAGGCCTCCAGGTCCGTATTTGCGCAAGGAGGTTCAAGGGGCTGGCATTAACAAATCCTCCTTCATACGAACGACGCACAAAATCCTCTCGGCTGGTAAAAGGCTGCCCATCCCTCGATGTCTTCCGCCATATCTCCTGTTTGTAAAACTCCTGCGAAACGCCCCAGCCGGCATAAATACGTGCAAATGCTTTGAGACCACGCTGGCACGAACCATGCAATCTCATCCCTAGGCGACCATCAACCTTACAGTCGCTGTCTGCGAGTAGGGCTGCTTCCAAACTATCCAGGAAAGTTATGTTGAAGTCACTTGGCTTAGCGGAGCCACAAACTGCTGCCACTCGTTTGACTCGATTCGGGAACATGGCGGCCCAGTGTAGGGCTTGCATTGCTCCCATAGAGTAGCCATACACAAGAGCCAGGCTCGTCACACCAAGGGAATCAAGTAGAAGTGCCTGCAGACGGACATTGTCGCACATTGTCGTTCCGCTCTGCGGAAACTGCTCGTGATCTTTACCCAAGCGGGAGCTAGGTGAGGTGGAAAGGCCGTTCCCAAGAAGATTGATGATGATAACACAGAACTTTCTTGTGTCCAACGTCTGGCCGGGTCCAATGTTGAACTCTAGCTCCGGGTGTGTGGCATCAAAGGAGGTAGGATGAAGGATGCAGTTGGATTTCTCTGCGTTCAGCTGTCCGTACATCTTGTACACAAGCCGCAGTCCGGATGCAGCTTCGCCCGTTCGAAGGAGAAAAGATGCCGGTGCTTCAAAACTTCTTGCTTCATCTGCTAGAGCATGTTCCAGTCCCGGTGATCGAAAGGATCTGAAAGTCAAGCCCAGCAGCCTTTCTGCCTTCCTGTTGCTGACGATCGATGCGAAACCGAATAGGTTCCCGGGCAGCATACAACCGGTCTTGTTGAAATGGTGCTTGATCAACTCCACCTTAGTCCCGCCCGTGCTTTCACACACAAGTGGCATGCCACACAAGGCAACACAACTCGCCATTAAGGGCAGACAGGTGTCGGTAGGCACATCATAGCGAGTGTCCGGGGCCACAATGAGAAACGTCTCACACCTCTGTTGATTTGGCTTGACTTGACCTTCAGACACTCACTTTTCCCGAGGGCTCGTCGAGCAATGCTAAAATCAGGTTTTTCACGGGTCGTGGGTCTGGGGAGTCTGTGCTTACACTTTGCGGCCATGGTGCTTGGATGGCAATTCACTCGAAGGCAGCAGCAGGGCTTTGACATGCGCTTCTACGACATCGTGCTCGTGACAGTAAGCCCACATCAAAGGTGTCACTGCATGTTGCGGTAACTTCAGAGGCAACTCAGCCCACTTTTCGGCCTTGATGATGTTGGAAAAGCGTAGGGACACGAAAGAGAGGTTGTTTTGCTTTGGCCTCTTGCACGGGGGGCCGCTTTCGGCTTTGCCATCTTCGACACTCGGAGTGCGGGCAGCACGGAGGAGCATCTCCGCAAAGTCTTCGCAAAAACACTTGCTCAAGCCATAATGCTCAAGAGGCTCTGGCACATGCGATTCGTCCAATGGCAGGAAGCCGGGCATGAAAGCAGCAGGTTCGTGAGACCAGCCCATGGCAAACAAGGAAGAGGAGAACACCACCCTTTTGCTTGCAGGTTGAGCGGCGATGGCCTCGAACAGCATGCAGGTTCCAAGTAGGTTTTGTCGCAGCAGTTCAACCCCAGTCACCTTCTCAAGCCCTATGGGCGGATTCGGCACAGGATCGACTGGCGGCGGTGGGTGTTCGGAAGGCCCTGGAATTGCACCGACATGGACGACCGAAGTGACCTTCGCAGCAAGATGCTTCATAGCAGCCGCATCGCATAGATCTGCTTGTACGAAAATGACCTCATGTGCCCTTGGGCCCCAAAGCTTGTCCTTATCCGCAGGGCTGACTCGGTCTGTAGCCACAACAGACAGGCCACCTTCCACAAGGCTTGTAACAATCTGGCTTCCCAATCGTCCAGAAGCCCCGGTTACGAGAACGGCTTCTCCGGCCATTGCGGTTTGCACAGCTCAGAGCTCTCCAAGACTTTGCTGTGTCTTAAGCATGCAATGGGAAACACTTGTCTTGTAGCTACTGAAGTTACTAAATCCTACTTCAGCATGCATCAGCCTCAAGCGTATGGATGCACAGCAACAGACGGCAACCTGATTTCAAGCTCACAACGCCCGCACAACTGCACGTCGGCTCCCGACTCTGAGCATGACGTGCTCGGCAGATGGCACCACAAATGCGAAGGTGCCGGTTGAGCCGCTGGGCTGTCAGGAAAGGAAAGATGAGACGAGGCTATTAACGAGCATGTGGTCTGCATGCTGGTACAACGGGGCTCTGCTGGCCAAGGCTGGCCTGTTTCGTGTCCAGAAACTCCTGGTCTATTCCTCGGCTGAAACACACCGTGCAGCCTCGACCTGACCTACGTTTACATCCTGCGCTTCTGCCTGCCATGAGCGGACCACAACAACAATCACCTAGAATCCAAGAAAGGCCCCCGGTGCTTTGAATCCCGGCTCAAGTCGCCGAACCGTCCGAGCGGTTGCAGCATTGCACCCACAACCGAGGCCGGATCTCGCGCTACTGTGATGGAGGAAATCTTGCACAAGTTTGAGTAGACCAACACGGAGAGAACCCCCAGCCCCTTGTTTGACATTGATGTCAAGTCCTGCAAAGGGCCGTGGGCTCCACTGACAAAATCTTGCACCAGCCATATGGCATACTATCGTCAATGTTAAAAAGGGGGCGCAGGTCCTGGTATTAGCCAGCATCTGGGTGGTGCAAGATTTCGCTCATCAACCGTAGTGATCAACACCCGACCCCCTCCCCAAACGGAAAGAGTGTCCGTGCGAAATTGCATTTCCTGCACACCCGACAAACCAGAGAAAAGCGGAGGGGACAAGAAGAGAGCCGATTGTAAATGGGCCCACCAGCTCAAATCTCGCAAACCGCATCTGCACTCGCTGACACATCGTGGAATCGTAGGGGCCGTTCGCAGCATCAGCGACTTGACCGCCTCATCATCTGCAGGTAGCGCTTGCGATCTCAGCTCCTCAAAGCGCATACATTGGCATACATGTAGTCCGTCGTGTGACGCTGCTGCGGCAGACAACGCCCGACGGAGAAGCCTTACAAGCGAATGCTAGTTGATTCCGGGCTGATAACTTGTCGGCTGAAGAAGGTGAAAGACTGCGAAATGCTTCAATCTTTCGGTGTTGTGTTGGAAGCTGCCTATTTCTTGGCTCTTATAAGGCCACATGTCTCAACTTCATGGCTTGGAGATGCACCATGTCAATGTTCTTTGCCATGGCAGAGGATCTGTGCCGGTTCAGAGCATATGCTGGATGCCTTTATTCCTCGTATCCAGACCTTCACCGATTTCTGCGGCAACCAGTTCTGCCACTCCCCACTGCAAAGTCCTCCGTTAGTCGCTTCGCCACGAAGGAGGAGCACTGCTGGCCACCATGTCCATCGAAAACGCCAAAGAAACCTGAACCAGCCAGGTCTCGCAGGTTGGGAGTCTCCATATCTTTTCCTCCCTCAAGTTCCGTCATATCCGCCAACACAGCGGTGCATCCGAGTCCCAACCAGAAACGAAGTTGCGGGCGAGACTGAGACGCTGAAATTACCCTCAGTTTGCTTGCTCCGCCCCGGGGCGCTCACACCCCTCCTGCGGCAATGAACCAGGCGCAGCATTTCCTTCTCGTGTCTTGGAAACAATTGCAAAGAGTAAGCAAATGGGCTGCTGGCCACTTGCCGTCTGTTGCTCCTCCCCCACCAACATCCAGGGACAAGTCTTTTTCAGTCGTTGACCTCTGAAACCTCCGCACACCAATTGCCCCACGTTGCCTTCCCCTTCAAAAGTTTTTTGGAAGACGTCGTTCCGTTTTACTCGGTGATCCGATCTTTGCCATTCTCTTTGTCGTAACATGTCGCGAGGTTTTTTGCAGCCTTTGGTATGCCGCGCTCTGAAACTTGGTAGTGACCACATCCGAGGAAGTAGAGTTATGAAAAAGTACTGCTGGTATATTTTTCACAAGGGACTCGACTGCTGCCCTCACTGTGGGTCGAGCTGGTATATTCTGTAAACACCTAAATAATTACAAGTACAGAAAGTATCTGAGAAAGGTGAAAAAAAGGTAACACACCAAGAGATAGGTAAACAAAGGTATCTGAGACAGGTGATTAAAAGGTAGGACGCCAAGAGAAAGGTAAGGAAAAGGCATCTGGAACGGTAGCACACGAAGAAGGAGAGAAATATTCAAGTAAGCACAGGGCCGGCATTGCAGTCGGGGGACCGGGAAGAAGGGAGGGAGTTGAGGTGCGAGACCGGGCTAAGGCACCTGCCCGCCGGCCCGCCCCCGCTCGTGTGGTCCTTACCTTTTCAAGACACCATTTTTTGCAGGTTTGTTCTCGCCCGTACCTATCCCGGCACCTTCTTAGCACATTTGGTTGCACGGGCCCGCTTTCCGCTGATCTGTTTTTACCTTTCGGTGAAGCCTTACTTTTTGTTTACCTTAGCCTTCACCTCTCGCTCACCTTTGTTTACCTTTTTTTGTACATCTTCCAACCTTTTCCCTAGAAACAAGCTGGATTTCCAGGGAGAGGAGGAAAGGTAAAGAAAGGTACCCAAAAATGTGGGGGTGACCTGCCGCCGCAGGGGCTGGAAATGTAAAAACGAGGTGGCCTAGCCCCCTGTCCAACGCGCTGCGTGCACGCACCCGCGCGCGATCACCCTGCAAACGTTCTCGCACCCACGCCACGCACCACCCGCCCTCGAAGAAGCACCTCTAAGCCAAGCATCGCCCTCCACCTCGAAGCCTCTAAGCACTGTCAACCCCAACCGGTGGTGGCGGTGCTATACCTACTTCTACCTTCTTAACACCTTCTTGCCACCTTCTGCCTGTACCTTTATTTTGCCTTCCCTAGTAGGCCTCGAATGGGGCACCTTCCTTCTACCTTTTCCCTGTACCTTAGTTTTAACCTGCTCCCGAAGAGTGCACCTTTCTTTTACCTTTTCCCTGTACCTTTGTTGTTCATTGTGTTTACCCTTTTAAACATTTACGTTGTGGTAATAAAACTTTACTAAACAATTTTCCATCAACCTGGAGAACAACGTACGACGCTGTCTACCTCTCTGGCTCCTTTTCTCTCAGACAAATCTCTTCAGGATGCCAAGTCGCCCCACGAATCCTGCCTTTGCTGGCTCAGAATATCACAAACGGACTGCTGCAGAGCTTGAGCGCTAGCAGATGAACATGTCGCATAATCAGCCAAGGCACATCACGGACACGTGTGCATCCTGCAAAAATCATACGCAGCGAGCAGCCTCCCTTGCTTTCACCCCTCTTGCTCAGGGCTGTTGTGCTGGTGTCGGAGCCACTGCTCTCTCGTTTTCAGCAGAGATCCCAATTTTCAGATTCTCCCCACCCCCGCCTGGTCCCACGCTCCAATACCACGCTAGCTACCGGTAGCGGTGTACGGCACGGTTGGGATTCTTCAGGCACTTGCTCTCTCTGGTCGAGTTTTGCGCGAGTTCTGCTGGACGGCTTAGCCTATTGAGCACGGTTGCCCTTGCGGAAAGCACGGCAGCTTCATATTTTATTCAACACAGCAGGAAAGCACACCGGACTGGCTGTGCTTGCTCTTCTCTCTCGCTCTCGCGTCTCTGTGGAAAGCTGTTCTTGTGCGAAACTCCGCGAGAGTCCTCCATTGTGGGCCTCCACCCGTTCATCTCAGCGACACCCACCTCGAAGAGAGGCCCAGCCTGAGGCTCCACGACTTACATACATTGAATTCTTGTGAACCCTAAGGGCCGAACATCGCGTTCCAATGCTATGGAGGTCACTGCCTTCGGCAGACCTTGTCCCATGACGACAAGGACCGAAAGCAGCCTTGGCGATTTTCTGACCCATCAGCGCTTCCCGAATGGCTCGTATGGTTGAGGGATTTACCACACCTCAGGGTGCCGCGTTCGATGCAGGCTCAACTGCTCGCAGGGATGGACAACTGGTGGTGAACTCTGTGCATTGCTCGAGCCAAAGACAGTCTCGACGGCAGTAACTCTTCCAAAAGTGCAATCGACGCCAAGAGTTGCCGACACGCCGCTTCAGTCTAAGAGCCCTTGCAGCAAGAAGGTGCACAAACTGCCTTAACTTTTCCACTCCGTTCTCCAGCTTGCACGAAACTTAACGGCCACAAACCAACTTGGAGGCATCCAGGGCACCGCAACGAAACACCTGGCCTCCGACGTATTGATAGCCACAGCGAGAAAGCGTTGTGGATCCGTCATCTGCCGGCTTGGACTTCTCGTACATTCCGTTACCTTTGCTACGAATTAGAACAAAGTGTAGCAAAGGATGTGGCAAAGCCAGGACGTCCGCTGGAAAACTAAGGCTCGCGCATTCCTGGGTGATGGGAACCTTTTCACATCCTTTTTCTGCTTGCCCGAGTTTGCGTGGCCATTCCTGGCAGTCTGCAGGCTCGCAGCAAGCTTTGTCGGTGTCGCCCGGGGCATCGTCGATGCCCGGCTTCTTGACCAAGATCGGATCGTTCTGGCAAGGACGTTCTGGCATGCTTGCTTTCATGTCGATACTGTCACTTGCTCGTGCCATGCGACCCCAGAGTGGAAACAGTAGAATTAGCCCGTACAGTAGGAACGGCGGGGCCACAACTGCTCATTGACGGTTTGCGCTTAAGCACAGCGAACTGACACCTTGTATGAGAACTTGCCCATGATTTGCAGAGAGCACGGTCGAAAAACACAAGTGCTCCCACATGTCAACAGCCCGTGCATCTCATCAAAATAGAATGGTATATCGTTTGAGCCGTGAACCGAAACTCAGCTTTGCTCTCGCCGAGGTACACCGCTGCAGGAGTGCAAAAGGCATGACTTCAAGCAGCAGTCTTCGTCAGTGTCGCCGGCAGTGTTTCTCTTGGCCGTGTTCGCCACCCAGCCTGCTTAAGAAAGCACGATAATCTCAGAACCATGTACGGATTAAGGCAA